TGTGTGAGCAGAAGTAATCAGGAAGGCTTCCTGGAGGAGAGGGCATGGCTGGAATTGAGCCTTTGATGGTGGCCAGGACTGAGTGAGACAGAGGGAAACCTTTCGTACAGGGGTAATATTTACTCCACAAGCGGAGTGGGAAGATGGGGGAGTGCAGGTGACGACAAGGAACCGTGCCGAGTTCTCAAATAGGGCAGGTCTAGTGGTACCTACATGAACATCTTTAAACTTTAACAGTTATGTGTTTGTTTTAATGGACACTGGAAAACATGTCACTTGCCCATTGGACCCACAAGTTGAGATACAACGGCCTTTTTTTTCAAAAGACGATTCTTTTTTTAAAAAATGAGTCAAAATTTTTTTAAAAAATATTAAGTTAACAGAAGCACGTGGTAGGTGGGGGTTAGGGTGTAAAGTAAGAGGATGGGGGAAAGTCTCAGAGTCAAAGACTCTCCTGAGAATTCCCTAGACCCATGCCTTGTCGAAGTCTGACAGATTGGCTCTTGAGGTGTCCACACAGCCGGTCCTCCCAGCACTGGGAGCCCTGAATGAAGTCACTGGATGTGTGTAGGGACCAGGTTTGTACCAAAACACAAATCAACTTGTAAGGTTTACCTTACACAAATATTCAGAAGCAAGATGTTCACAAGGTGAGACACGTGAAGGGCAAATTCACTTCTTCCATCCCGTGTTCTTTTGGGACAGATACACACGCAGCCGAATGCTTTACGGATAATTGCCCCTTTTTTTCCTTTTTAGGAGCAGGTAGAGGTACATGCAAGAGTTAAAAAAAAAAAAAAGGTGCCTGTGTTGACGCTCAGGTACAGGGAAGTCTACAGTCCTCAATGGTTACCAACTCAAGTTGGGGCATGCTGGGTTCAGCTTTGGGAGGAGAACAAATGGGGGTTTTAAGGGAACCGTCTTGGAGGCGTGGACCCATGAGCTTTTCACCAGCAGGTCCACCCAAGAGCAGTCCCAGGCAGCGGAGACCATTCTCCCAGCCCCTTTGTGAGGCGCCCCCGTGTCCCGTTCCCACTGAGGGACACTCCCAAATACTGGTTTCCAGAACTAATCTCACGATTGAGTAATCCTTTTGCAATCCTGATGCAAATGGGTGCTTTCCACTTTGCTGCCTTCTACAAACGTGCAGAGAGGTCAAATGGACTTGTCAGCTGACAGATCAGCAAAAATACTCTTTGATGACAGATGGCCATCTGATTTTTGCCCGTGACTCAAGGGCGTAAGAATTGAGTGACACAGCTATCAGGACGTTCCTTTCACTCCCTGTTGTTTATTTATGTCAACAAGCCTTTTCTATCTTACATCTGTGAAAATAAGAATGGACATGATGACAAATTTGGTCTCTTCCTAGTACAAAGTTTCCTCATTCAAGGATACATGAATCAATTGGGGATGAAGTGGAAGCCTCACTCAACTCATTAGGAGTTGTATTTCCAGGCAAATAAAAACCACAATGAGGGGCGCCTGGGTGGCTCAGTCGGTTAAGCATCTGACTTCGGCTCAGGTCATGGGATCTGGCCGGTGTCAGGCTCTGCGCTCAGTGGGGAGTCTGCTTGAGGATTCTCTCTCCCCCTGCCTCGCCCCCCCCACTTTCGTGCATGTTCTCTCTCTCCCTCTCACTAAAAGAAATAAAAATTAAAAAAAAAAAACATGAGATTCCACTACAAATGACTAAAATTTTTTAAAATACCACGGTGCTGACCATCATGCACAACGGGAAGCCCTCATACCTTGCTGGTGGGACCGCAGAATACTACGGCTTCTATGGACACTCCCACCTGTACCTCAAAAGGTTAAACACAGACTTACCATGTGGCCCACCAATCCCACTCCTAGGTATCAGTCATAATCGCCCAAAACTGGAAACACTTTTAAATGTCTTGCAATTCCTGATGGCCACAAACCCGAGGTGTACACATTCAATGGCATTCTAGTCTGCAAGAAAGAGAAACTGGTTTGTTTTGTGAGAAACAATCTGTTGACACACTCAAGGACTTACGTGAATCTCAAGACGTGATGCCAAGTGCAAGAAGCAGTGTTAAAAGTCCATATACCGTGTGATTCCTTTCATAGGATATTCTCAAAAAGGCAAAACGATCTGGTTGCCAGAGGTTAGGCCTCAGGGGAAGGTTTTCCTGCAAAGGAGAAGCAGGAGGAAATCTGGAGGGAACATAATATTGTTCTGTAACTTGGCTGGTGGTGGTTACTCGGATGTGTATGTGTTACAATTCCTAGAACTGTACACACACACTTCTATTCCACTCTGTACATTTAAGAAAATATAAAATATAATTTCTAAAGTATAAAAAAAGGAGATGCATTCCAACAGAGTTTTACTTCTTTGTGTGATATGATAGATAACAAATGTGAAACATTGATGTTGCCGGTCAATTGTGTACCTACAGAGAATGGCAGTCCAGACCCACAGAACGTTAACCTTTGTGGTCACAAGAAGAAATTAAAGCACTCGTTTGACCTTCTATAGATACTCGTGTTGCAAAGTACAGCAGAATGATTAATAATATTTAATGGCATAAATTCTGTAACATTTCGCTTAACTTCTAAGGGATAAGGAAATAACACATTCAAGACGGGATGTGAACTAATGGAGAGCTTGTTCGTGTGGTTTTTTTTCAGTGGTGGTATCATATTTAGGTCCCATCGGGCCACTTAAAGAGTGATGACGTGGTTTTATCTTATTAAGATTTTATTTATTTGAGAGAGAGAAAGAGATAGCGACAGAGCAGGAGCCGGGGAGCAGAGGGAGAAGCAGGCTTCCCACCGAGCAGGGAGCCCGACGTGGGGCTCGATCCCGGGACCCCGGGATCACGACCTGAGCCGAAGGCAGACGCTTCACCGACTGAGCCCCCAGGCGCCCCCTGACATGGTTTTATTTTCAAACGTCCATGACCACAGTGTGGGGGAAAGTTCATCCTGGGGGGGCTAAAGATTAGATGAAAGCTTTTCGATGTCCACGTCAGGGCGGCGAACAGGTGGATGGTTCCACAGGAAGCCTCGGGGCGGGCGGGCCGCACAGGAGGGCGGAGGTGGCGAGGACCCCGCAGCCCAAACCCCGGGTCTGCACCCGCTGAGCCGACCGCTCACAGCACGGAAGTCAGAAAGCAAGGCTTCCGGCCCAAGGCTCGCGTCGTCACGCCGCCTCTGACGTCATCACGCCACCTCTGACTTCTCACAGCACCTTGACGCAATTACGGCGCCCCCAGCGCCATCGCAGGCCTCTCCGTCTCAGCGCAGCACCTCTGCGTCATCACCGGGCGCCGCCTACGTCATCACGGCACTTCTGACGTCACCGGCGCACAGTGAACGGGGACGCACGTCCTTCTGGACCCGAAGGGGCGCGCAGCACTTGTCACGTGAAGGACGCTGCCTCCGGCCGGAAGGGGCCCCTCTGGCCTGGGGCGGGGCTGCAGACGACCTCCCCAAGTCCCTTCCAGCATTAAGAATATTTAAGATTGCAAAAAAAAACCCCAAACTAAACCAAAACCAAACAAAAAATATTTTTTAAAAAATTGCATTTTGCAGCAGCACTCCTAAAAGATGAATACGGTCACGTGCGGTTTAAAAACGCCTTTTCGACCTAAAGTTTTGGGTTTCTCCTGATTGTCAAAGACGTGCTACTGCTCTTGTGGGGCCCTGACAGCACTGTGGGGCGGAGGCTCGGTGCCTGCTCTGCCCCGTGCCTACGTGACCCTGGCTTCTGCTGATCCCCGCTGGGGGCCACCCCGGAGTGGCGGAAGGCCGCAGTGGCATGCCCAGGGACGCGGCGGCTACCCCTCGGCACCTAGCCCAGAGAAAGCCCGCGGCCGGGGTGGTCCGGCCACGACACACCCCACTCCTGGGGCGGTGCCCGGGGTAGCGCGGGTGCTCGATGTTCCGCGAAGGACGGACCTTCAGAATGTTGTGTGTTTGCAGTAGGAGAAAACTGGAAACAGCTTAGATGACCATCAAGAGGGACTGTGTGAGCATCTGTACCTGGGAGACTGTGCTGTCATTTACAAGAATGAGGTAGCTCCATGTTTACAAGAATGAGGAGCAGGGAACAGTGTCCAAGACAGGAACAGCTGAAGGGTCAGCTTCGGTGGGAAAAAAACAAGAATAACAAATCGTCATAGGGAATGTAATGATGGCAAATTTATGTAGCCCTTCCCACGTGCCAACTGTGTTCTAAGAGCATTCCATGGACTAACTCCCTGCATCCTCACAATGCCACTCTCCGACAGAGGCGGGTACTATTACTTTCTCCACTCCACAGAGTAGACAAGCTGAGACACAGAGCTGTCAAATGACTCATCTGAAGTCACAACATTGGTAAGAGGCAGAGCTCAGATTCAAACCCAGGCCATCTGGCTCCCACACCTTGTCTTAACCACTGCTCTTTTCTGCTTCTTACATAACAAGAAAAAGCAAAAGCCCAGAACAATATACTGAGCATTTCCTACAGGCACCTCGATTTGTATATAAATGCACAGAAAAAAAGCCTAGCCAGGCTTCATGCCAAAGTGGCAAGCTACCTTGGGATACCGGTCAAAGCAGCCTTGGGTCCTACTCTTTCTAAACAAGAACTGCATTCATGCAGTATTTATATAAAATGTTAAATATAGGGCGCCTGGGTGGCTCAGTGGGTAAGCGACTGCCTTCGGCTCAGGTCATGATCCTGGAGTCCCTGGATCGAGTCCTGCATTGGGCTCCCTGCTCGACAGGGCGTCTGCTTCTCCCTCTGACCCTCCCCCCTCTCATGTGCTCTCTCTCATTCTCGCTCTCTCTCTCAAATAAATAAATAAAATATTTTTTTAAAAAATGTTAAATATAAACAAGGTTGAAATTTTAAAACAATAGAAAGGCAAGTCAGCGGCCCAGCCGCTCCTGGCAGTTACCAGAAAGGAGCTATTGACTAAGAGCCCAGAATTTCCCAGGAAGCCCCCCACTCCCCCACAAACAGGCTGTCACAGACTCGAGCCTTAACTTTTAAAAAAGGTTTATTACTTCAACAGTGAATTATTTTTAAAAGATGATAAACTTCACTTCTCTTGCAGTAGAAAAGAGGCAGAGGCTTACCCCAGAGTGGGAGTCACGGGTGGACGGGTCTCCCACCCGACCGGACCAGACCCCAGACCGATGGGGCTGGGCTTCCGCACCTCTGCCGCCGCGGCACCTAAAAGCTGAGGGCCCTCCTGGTGGGCAGCCTGGGGTGGAGCCTCCCACCACCCCCACCAGGGAGCAGCCGGCTCAGTATACAGGAGGATGTCAGTTTAGGCTGGAGGAAAGGGGCCCCAGGCACCCAAGCCTGGTCCCCATGCAGACTTCAGGGAGATCAACGTCTGCTTGGGGAATGAGGAGACTGTCGGAGCAGGCTCGAGATGCATCTGGAGCTCACACTGTTTGCTGAGGCCCATGTGAAGGCGCCTCGCCCCCAGCCCAGATGGACGTACAGGGCCAAAGCTCTGGGTCTGGGCTGGACGGGGCAGCCCCCTGCCCACACGGCTTTGGCACAAGAAGTCTGTGTTCCCGGGCTGGATTTTGGGACAGTAGCCGGTCCCTCAGAGTAAAAGGCCTGTCCTACATGACCGAGCCACCAATCGGGGACTGCAGGATTTCGTGACTGGTGGAGAGGGCGCTGGGGGGGAGGTGGTGTCCGGAGCCCAGGCCCCCTGGCTGAACAGGTCTGGCCAGGCTCACTCAAGGGAGGGGACCCAGTGCCCACAGCAGTGCGGGTCACTTGGACAGAAGGTTCCAGACAGTCCTTGTTGATGAGGCTCTCCCTGAGTCTCCTCAGCAGCAGCTCATCCCTGAGTGTGCCTGCACACGCCTGTGGACTCGTGCATGTACACGTGCTGGGGGGTGTGCAGTGTGTGGTCACGCGTGTGGCAGCTAGGGGGCTCAGACTTCAGGACCGGTGGGCTGTCCGCTGAGAGAGTCCTGAAGAAGCGGGGTGTAGGGGCCGGGGAGCAGGTCTGGCTGAGTGGCCACGCTGGGCTGGCTCGTGGCATCTCCGGGACCCTGTGGAGGAGGACAGGAGCTGGATCACTGAGCCCTGTCAGGGAGCACCGCCCGTGTCCCCAGCCCCGCCCTTGGCCCTGCACCCACTTCCTCCAGCGAGAGACAACCCCCTCCACATCAGCAACACCCATTAGCCAAACTCGAGATGAGGAAAAGCTGGAGTGACGTACAGACCCCTGAAATGCAATTACGAGGGCCTCCTCTCTCATTACACGCCATCTTGCCCTGCCCTCACCCCATTTCAGAGGTGGGAAAACCGAGGCCCAAGGGGACTTGCCGAATACAGTGAGAAGGAGCCCAGGCCTTATCTGCAATACTGTGAACACCAAAACTGGAAACCACCTAAATGTCCACCGACAGGAGAATGCATTTTTAAAATAGTATCACAAGATGGCACTGAACCTGGACAGCTTTCACAAACCCGGACCTGTGGAGGGGAAAAGCCAGCTGAGGAGTGACCCATGAGAATTGTTTTAATCATCTATTGTTCCTGGATATATTTATACAGACTTGGAGGGGGAAAGCCCACACACCAAATTCCTGGCAATGACCTGCCTCTGGGGTAAAAGGTGAAACAGAACAGAATGTTCGAAATTAATGTTGTTGAGTCTGGGTGACAGGGAACAGCAGATGCTGTAATTTACCTACTTTTACTTTTTTTTTTTTTAAGTTTCTCAACCAAGCTGTTAAAGACAGGATGGATGATAAGGACTGATGGGGCGGGGTGCTCTTCATCCCTCTGAGCCCTCTGCCTTCCTTCCCCTGAAGGTGCCCACTTGCAACCCCAAGGGCTTGCTTCTCCAGATGGTGAAGAGAATCAAAACCCCCACTCTAGGCAGCACAGAGGGAAGGGAAGGGTTGCACTCTGGCCTCAATCCCTCTGAGACAGGTCTAAGGCTTCCAGGATTGAGCCCATTCAAGCCAGGGGCAGAAATGGGGGGGTGCGGAGAGGCCAGGCCAGAGTGAGACCAGCCCCCCGCTCCCGAACACCACCACAGAGAAGCAGCATGGGACACCTAGGGGTGGCCAGAACCTCAGCAATGTGACCCTAAGAGCCACAACTTAAGAAAGACTTGCTCAGAAGTAAAAAGGGAAACTAGTCCCAGACTGAAAAGACCCCTGGTCTATCCCAAGGAAGACACATGTAACAAATCCCCAAGGAACCAGAACATGAACCAGATTCCTCCACTTCCTGTCCCCCTTCCACTTTTGTTTAGCTGAGGAATGAGGACTTAGAATGGGAGAGAAATTAATGAGAAGGCAGGAAAGGTCCTGGAACATTTCCCTGAAGGGCTTCTGTGTACAGTTGTCCAAGATGTTCACTGCACAAGGGCACCTAGCCAAGGGGGCTGCAAATGGGCTGTCATGTTCCATTTGCCAAACCCTCTGCCCTAGAGCTGGCCAGGTCTGCACAGAGTGGCTGTCTTTCTTATCGACCCAAAAATACTCTTCTGGGGTAGTGCAGGCCCCATTTCCTGCTTTCTCCCAAGCAAGAGAGCCCCTCAAGACTACTCCCCTGCCCAGATGCAAGGCAAGATGTGGGGCCTCCCCCAGGGACCCACATTGAGGCTCCAGCACAGGCTGGAGACCAACATGCAGGGATTCTAGGTCTCCAGGACCACTGGTCACTTCCCAGGTGCCCGCCCCCCAAACCAAAGCCTATAGGACATTACAGGACACTGCATTCCCCAAGCACACATGACTGGGGTAAGGGGCAGCGTCATCTGGTGTGGAGGCTGAGCTGCCTTCCAGAAGGCAGGGCAGTAGAATCTCTAAGTCAAAAACTTCCCTAGTAACTTGAGAGTTGGATTCTGTGGGTAAAATAAAGAGGAGACCCCAGTTTTGTTTTTGTCTTATTGGGGGGGGTGGCATGACATGCTGGCTGTGTCCCTGGCAGCCCAGGGCTCTGACCTCCCAACCACCACCCCTATCTGTGCTAAAAGGGAATAACGCCCTTCTCTATTCCTGAGGACCCCACCCCTGCTCCCTGAGAATGCCAAGCAAGTTTCCACAGAAGGGAATTGTGGCTAGAAGGGGGCAGGGGTGCCCGTGAAGCCAAACTGAACACAATAAGGGATCCCAGAGGGATTCTGGGGAGACACGGAAGGAAAGAGAGACGAGTCTCCAGCTAGGATACCCTGTTCCCGAGCCCGGGGACTGTGTCCTCAAGGAGGGCATCCCGTGCACGCTCAGCCGTGATGCGCTCATACCCCACCCTCCTACTCCCCAGTTGGCAGGAGGAGCCGTCCCCCCCCAGAGCCTGGCTGCGGACACAGCTGTCCCTCCCTCCTCTCAGGGCTGGCAGCTCCCGTGACCACGACTTTGCATTTTCTATTTTATTTCTGCCTCCTGCCCTGGCAATCGAAGAAAAGCGGAGGCAGCCAACTAGCCCCAAAGAGCAGGGCTGCTGCCTCGCCCTCGCTCTGTGGCTCTTGAGAAACCTACTTAAACCCAAGCAGGCTCGGCCCCAGAAGCTCGAGGGGGCGGCACATTTTTGAGAAACCAAGGTAACAGCTATTTATCAGAGGTACAACCGTAGAGCGACTCACCCCTGCCCGACCCCAAACTCCAGGGCCCAGGGCTCCGCCAGCCGCATCCCCAAGCAGGACTTAGGCTCTCCCAGGACCTCAGACCTAACGGAACCCGGCCAAAAAGGTGAACTCCCACAGGCACAAGCCTGCTTCTCCTGAAGGTAGTTGCCAGATAAAATCGGGGCATCCAGTTAAATCTGAATGACAGGTAAATAACTGAGTTTTCAGTATACGCACGTCCCAGTAACTGCACGGAACACACCTACCCTAAAATTTATTCATTGTTTACCTGACATTCAACCTTAACTGGGCATCCTTTTGTTGTTGTTTCTTGGGGTCAGGGGGTTGTTGATCTGTGTGTCTTTGCTCTGTCTGGCAAACCTACCCTCAGGCTGAATCCTGGTATTCAGCTGGTGCTCAGTTGATGCTTAAATTCTCTTTTTCTTGGTCAGTCATCCCAGATTTATTGATTTATTTATTTAATTTGGGTTTGCAGGGCTTTTTTGTTTTGGTTTGGTTTGTTTTTTTTTAGAGAGAGCACGCATGAGCGGGGATGGGTGATGGAATGGGGGGAGGAAAGGGGCAGAGGGAGAGGGAGAGAGAGAATCCTAAGCAGGCCCCATGCCCAGCACGCAGTCTGACATGGGGCTCGATCTCAGGACCCTGAGATCATGACCTGAGCCAAAATCAAGAATTGGACGCTCATCTGACTGAGCCCCCCAGGCACCCTCATCCCAGATTTATTTAGACTCCTGTTTCTCAAACACTGGATCATCTACATCAGAATCCCCTTGGGGGTGTCCATTAAAATACGGAGTCCTGGGCTCCATCCATGATTCTACTCCAGAGGGTCCAGAAGGATGTCCAGGGGTCCGCACTTGGAGCCACCTTTCCCAGAGGTGTCTCCTGCACCAGAGGTATGAGAAGCAGCTGCCTCGAACCTGAGCCTAGCTTTTCTAAGACAACCTGGCAAGTAAGACCGCAGTCCACACGGCACCATCGCCCTCCGTCTCCTGCCACGCCTGGGGCCAAAGAAACCGCCATTAGCTCCGAATGCCAAAATACACAAGCACGAATTTTCAGTCTGTAGACACTCCAGGTGAAGTTCAGGCTGAAGACATGCGTAAGATCCAAAGTGTTTCAAGGGACGGGGAGGGGAGGGGGGGCGCGCCGCGTTACCTGGTACCCACCTACAGTCTTGCTTCTTGCAGCACAGTCCCCTTGGGAGCTGATGTCATCAGGGATTCAGAATAGGCCTGAATGGCCTCCTTATCCTTTGAGCCCTTTTTACTACTACTCCAAAATAAATAGCATTTCTCCTAGAAGATAACCAAGCTAATTTATAGTTGACACTGCAGCCAAAGACAAAAGGTTGACACGCTTCTTCAATTTTTGGAAAGCAAAGAGCAGGGTGGTAAGTCCAACAACCGTTAACACCTGGAGATGTGGAGATCTGGGGAGTGGGTGCCCCTTCACCAGACAGAAATGCCTTCGGGAAACACGCTCGGTCCGCCAGACGAGCCACGCGGGAAAGGGTCTGCCCACTTGAACGTCTAGGCTTTGGACGGGAACCAAGGTGGGGAGATGGGCCACCGTGGGCAAGGCACGCCGGGCCAAGAACCAGCGGGCCGAGCAGGTGGCATTTTAAAATGGGCCAGAAACAGACGTTTCTGTTGAAAAGGCTTGCTATTTGAAAGGAATGACTTAAGAAGAAAAATTTCTGGGAAATTAAAATATGTTGAGTTCATCAGCATACGATTTTTTTCTTAAATCAGGACAAATAACACAAAAATATGTGAGGCCTAACCCCTGCTAAGCTCCCCCTGCAAAAAAAAAAAATATGTCACGGAATAAATTTCCACCATGTGGCCTCCAGTGCCGCCTGTGGCGGGGGGAGTCTCAGCTGCGTCCTCGGTGGAAACAGGCATCCTTGTTGGGTCTGGGGACCGCACACTGACCTGCGGGTAAGGCCTGGAGGGAAGGGGTCCTAGCCAGCCATTTCACATGGGTTTCCTCACTCTCCTTCCCCCTCCTGCTCCTGATGGACACTCAGGAGAGAGACAGAGGAGACAGAAGATGCGGAGGCTGCCCTGGCCTCCTCCCCTGGGCCAGCCCCTCACCAGGCAGGCCCCAGGATCCCCTGCCTGTGGCGGTGGAAACACCCAAGGAGGGATCCTCAGGCTGGGAGCCTTGGCTTCTAGTCCCTTCCGCCCTCCCAGCATAAATCAGTCAAAGAACTATAGGGAGTTCCCTTGTGCTCCCTGGAGAGCCAGTCCCACTCAGTCCAGCAGGCTGGTTACACCCATCGATCACCAGGAGCTCAAACACCAGAGTGGTGGAGTGGTGAGAGCTCACGAGCCCTGGCACCCTCTCACCAGGGCAAACCTTTCCCCCTACAGGATGGGGAATTTGGAAGGCAAATCTGGTTAAGGGGCTGAAACTCAAGTTAAGAGCCCGGGAAGGTTTATCGTTGCACCAGCAAGCAAGCAAGCAGGCACGCAAGCTGCCCCCAAGAAAGAGGAGAAAGCAGAAGAGCCGTTTGCCGAAACTGAAGCAAGAAATCAGGCACCGTGGGGGCCCAAGGGCCCTCCGACATGCCTCGCCCATCCCTGCCTTGGGGCCTTTGTACTGGCCATTCCTTCTCCGGGAGCACTCCTTCTGTGAGTCTGTGCTGAGTGTCTCATCAGCATTCACCTCGAAGCCTAAATCCTACCTCTTCAGAGAAGCCTCTCCTGAGTCTCCATAGGTGTCCCCAACCCTCTTAAATGCTATGATGTCCAGTCTAGGACCACATATGGCTGTTAAGCCTTTAAAATGGGGTGAGTCCGAATCAAGACCTGCTGTAAGTATAAAATACATGCTGGACTTTGAAGACTTAACATGAAAAAATAATGGAAAATACCGTTATATTTATATTTTTTATATTGATTACATGTTGATGTGGTCATATTTTGGACCCATCTGGGTGAAACAAAATATACGATTAAAATTAATTTTTTTTTTTTACTTAATGTGGCTATTAGAAAATGTAAATTTAAAATCACACCCACGGCTCACGTATTTCTACTGGACAGCACTAACCTCGTCTGTCATGTTTTCTATCATCTTTATCATCAGCAAAATTACGTTTTCTGTCTACTCGGTTTTCATCCATCTCTCCACCTAGAATGCCACGGTCCCCCAGAGCAGGGCACGTGTCTGTCTTGGTCGCGGCTATCTGCGCTGCGCCTGACAGAGCCTGGCACCCAGCGGGTGCTGACTTGATGAACAAGCCATTCAAGTACCACGTCTCATTACCCAAAGCCCACAGGCAGCCCCCCCCCCCAGGGAGGGTCCCCAGGCCACCCAGGATCGGCAGAGGAGTGGCAATGTGAGAGACAATAGAGATAAGCACGCGGTGACAGCTCCCTGCCCCAGGCAGAGACGCGGGACCGCTGCCCAAGGTGGGCTCCAGGCTGAGGGTGTCCGCGGAGGCGACTGGAGGGACGCCCAGGGGACCCCATGCCCCACCTTCCCCCAGCAGGCAAGCAATGGGCTGTTCAGACCAGGCCTCGCTCTGGCCACCACCTACTTGGCTCCGGATCTGGTGGATGATGGGGATGAGCAGCAGGACGCAGCCCAGCGCGAGGAGGACGTACTGGGCGTAGTGCAACACACTGGGCATCAACACCAGCTGGGTGTAGAAGGTCTGCAGGGGCTCACCTTCCATCGCCCCGCTCTGCGGATGGACAACGACAAACGAATGGGCTGGCGCCACACTCGGCAGGCCTGGGGCTCGGATGCTGCCCCATGCCACATCCCCGTCCCTCACCCCGTCCTCATCTCAAGACCACAGGCCAGAGCTTGTGATGGAGCCTGCGGGGGAGAGAGGGGGGCGGCACACGACGGGACTACATTTCCCAGACTCCCTTGCAGCTGGGCAAGGCCACGTGATCCCATCTGGCCAATGGGATGTGGGCCCAGTATGCTACAACTTCCTGCCTGGCCCATAGACACCTGCCCCGGATTCTCTCCACATGGGTCCCAATTCCTGGAACGGGAAGGGTTCTGAGGATCTGGAGGAGGGCGGGCGGGACTACGGGACAGCAGGAGCCTGGGTGTCCCTGAATGACCGCGAGGAGCGGAGCTCCGCCTCCCACAACCCGCCCAGCCTGTGACGTGAGCCGGCTGTCGGTTCGGATGTTAGCTCTGCGTGATTGAAAACGCCCTGGCCAGAAGGAACCCCGAAACGCCAGGAGAAAAGAACGTCCAAGTGAAAAGCTGACACCCGGAGAAGCAACTTCCCTTCTCTCCGGAGAAGTGGTCAGGTGCGTTTAGAAAATTACACCCTGGGCCAGGGCTGTACAGTTTCATGCGGCTTCTGCCTTCCTCAGCTCAAGTGATCCTATCAAGGCAGGGGGATAACTGATAGGAGGTGCTTGGGCCTGTGAAGCTCCTCACAGACTGCTCTACATCCCCCATGCCAGCTACCAGCCCGCCCCCCACCCTCCACAAATAGACCCCCGGCCCCAGAGCCCACACTGGCTGCTGCCGGCAGTCCCAGACACGGCGCCCAAGGGCACCTGGAGCAACGCGAGGCAGCCTCACCTCTTCGAACCACACCAACGGCAGGACCACGGGCTGGATCTTCCCCGTTTGTCTGGAAATAAGCGAGACAAAGCAAGTGAGAAGTTTTTGTCTGGGTGTTTTATGTAAGGCGGCTTTGGACATGTGATCCTAAGCTCCAGGGTCAAGAGGGATTTGATGTTGCAACAACCGGATTGGTGCAGGCTTGAGTAATGGGTATTTCCTGGTGGGGAGCAACCTGACAATCCGATCATATCTTTTTGAATTAAAAACTCACATCTCCTATAAGGTGGGGGCTGCCAGTGACCTGGCTGATGGTCATCTGTTCCCTTTAGAAACAAAACCCCAGATTTATTCGGGATGGCAATGCACCCGGCTAACTAACAATAGATTTTATGCTCACCTCCTGCTTTCCTTTGGAGAGTCTGGAATCTGGGTCCATGCCAGACAGAGGCTGCCTACGTGACCAGGCCCCCAATAAACATGCTGGCGCTGAATCTCTAACGGGCTTCCCTGGTAGAAAACACTTCACACGTATTGTCACAACTCATTGCTGGAGGAATTAAGGGCATCCTGTGTGCCTCTCTGGGGAGAGGGCTCTGGATGCTTCTGCCTGGCTCCCCCAGACTTCACCCCATGCACCTTTTCCTTTGCTGACTTTATTTGAATCCTCCCTCTGTAATAAAAGCACAAGTACAACAACGTGCTGGGTCCTGTGAGTCTTCCCACTGAAGCAGGGAACCTAAGAGTGGTCTTGGGGACCCCTTACTAGCTAACTGTGTGACCTCGGGCACACTACCTACCCTCTCTGTGTCTCCTCTGTAAAGTGGGGGTTACACAGGCACTCCTCATGGGGCTCTACTGCTTTAAATGCAATAACATGAGCAAGGTGCTTGGAGGAACACCCACCATATAGAAAAAGCTCCAGGTCTGTTACTGTTGTCACTGTTAAATCCTAGCAAACAAATGGATGAAAATACTCTGCAGCTATCTGTGGAAGTGGGGGGAGGCTTGGGTCTGCTTAAAGAAGGCACAGCTGGACAGAGATATGGAACGCACTAGGGGGACAGAACCAAAGTCAGCACAAAAAGCCAAAATCCCTCAATCACCAGTCCTAACAATCTCTCGGGCCACCCGCTAAGAAGAGTATTGTGCAGTGAAACGAATTTACACAGCATTACCTACAGAGGAGAGACACAGAAAACACTAGAGGAATACGACAGAAGGTCCACGTTGGCCTCTTTTATCTGAGTTTGTAAGGACGGATGTAAATTAAATGCAAATAGCATGCAACTCCACTGCCTTTATCTTGTGAGCACGGAAGTTCCCCGGAAGTTCCCCGGACAAGCCACCAGCCGAAGGGGAGGTCAGACAGCTGCGAAGCCCCGTTCTGAACAGACGGGGACAGAGGCCCAGAGAGGTCAGGGTAGAGGTCCGGGGTCACCACCACGCAGAATCCAACGGTCCAAGTGTACTGCTAGCTTGAGCAGCATTTGCCAAGAATTCAAATTCATTGCCAACAAGTGAAAATTAAGAGAGCCCCTGTTAAAATCCAGATTTTGAAAAATGCATCTGAAAACGCATCAGATGGGGCCACAGCGGGCATGAGCTCCCCGGGGCGGGGCAGGGGCTGGTCCTCGGCCCCCATCCCTACCCGGCCTGCCCAGCTTTGCCTAGTCACCTCCCGCCCCCCCCGCCCCCCTCCCGTGAAGTGACGTGGGCCCCAGAGCCCGAGGCTGGTGGGCGGCAGGCCGTTTCACCACCCCCAGATCCTCCCAGAGCAAACCCTCTGACAGTCTCACAATGCACAGATAAAAAGCCAGGGTGGGAACGAGGGAGGGAGCGTGTTCTTTCCGGCTGAAAGGCATGTTACAAAGCTGAAGAGATGCTGACATTCCTGCAGCCCAGAACTCTTCCTAGGGGAATTTTTTCTTTTTAATAAAACTATTTCAAATATGCTAAGAAAAAAAAAAAAAAAACGAGAACCCAGCCACTACCCTAACAACTAAATCAGTGCACCCTCTCGCCAAGCTCCATCACGACACCGCATTCTGACAAGAGCTGGTGAGGATGTGGAGGCTGGAACGTTCCCACACCGCTGGCAGGAAGGTCAACGAGGCAGCTGCTGGACAAAACAGTCTGGTGGTCCCTCCAACGCCCAATCGTGGACTTGCTGTCTGAGCCAGCAATTATGCTCCAAGGTATCTACCCCAAAGAAATGAAAGCATGCATCCACACAGAGATCTATGCTGTACATCTAGATTAGATCTATATCTGATCTAGATTAGATGCACTAATCTATGCGTGGTCATGGCGGCATTACTCAAGGATGGCCAAAACCGAGAAAAACCCAAATGTCCATCAATGGATAAATAAAACCTGCCCAGTGCACACAATGGACTACGATTCGGCCCTAAAGAGGAAGAAGCAGTGACATCTGCTAGAGCGTGGGTGAGCCTTGCAAACACGATGCCGAGTGAGAGACGCTGGACACAAAAGGCCACACACACCATGCACGATCCTCTTTATAGGAAGGGTCCAGAACAGGCAAATCCACAGAGACAGCAAATAGATGAGCGGTCACCAGGGGCTGGGGGAGGGGGATGGGGAGTGACTGCTAACAGGGACGCGGTGTCTTTGGGGGTGATGGCTGCATAACTCTGCGAATACGCTACAAATCACCGAATCCTACCTTTTAAAAGGGTGAGTTTTACGGTAGAGTACGTGAATTACATCTCAATAAGGCCATTATTCAAAACAAACAACAACAAGAAAATCAGGGCTTAAAAAAAATGTCTTCCATAAAGCGAGGAGTCACACTTTAAAATGCTGTTTGGTACGTTTCCGTGGTCCAATCCTTGCTTGCTGGGATTTAATTTTTTTTTTTTTTTCCAATTTTCTGTCGAGTGGGAAACTGCTCGGATGGAAGAGTCTGGCGAATTTGGGGGACAGATGTTGAGAGACAAAACCAGGATTCCGGGGCAGGGAACAGACTCCACATCCAGTAGGACCGTCTCCCTCCCCACCTGCCGGTCCCTGGGGAGGTCACTGCAGTCCCCCCATCCCCGGGATCCGGGCCCCGGCTCCCAGAGCCACTCACCCGATGCCTTTGATAGCCTTGATATAGAGGCTCAGCTGCAATTTCACGGAGCAGTTCATGGGGATCCCGGTGACCTGGGGAACGAAGCACAGAGAGGGGCCTGGGCTTGCTGGAGCCCCTGGTCCTGCCCCAGAGGGTGGGCACGGGGGGCTCCCCCTCCACGGGCTCTGAGCCCTTCTGGGCAAACACCACGCGTCCCCAGATACAGTACATTCTGTATTCATCATCCCTTCCCCATCCTCCAAGCTAAACAAAATAGATTTGCGTGTGGAAAAAAGTCACTCTCCTCACACTTTTCCTGTCTCAAACCTAATGATAGTTTTCCCTCGTGTTTAATTTTCTTTTTCTCGAGAACTTTTTAATTTCCAAATATGAGGTAGTGACAGGAAACTTCCTTTGTTGCAGAAACCACCTTTTTTTTTTTTTTTTAAGTAGTAAGTAAGTGGCAGGAGAGGGGACACACGTGCATGACCAAACTCAGGGAGGGAGCTCCAGAAGCGGAAAGGAACCGGGCTTGAGGTCAGGGGGCCACGGCCACTGCCTCTCCACTGAGGCCTGTTTCCTCATCTGCAAAAGGGGCTGGTTCCCCCCATGTCCCGGAGCTTCTGCAGCGCAAAACGAGGCACGCGAGACAGCCATACTCAGGGCCATCAACGCTTGTGTGGTTATCACGTACATCAGCGGTAAAGGGCGTTATCTTCCGTGATAAGCAGGCCTTGCGGGCCCCGGTTGCCCAGAGGGACAGGGCAAAGGCCGGGCACCTGACAGGGGGGAGAGCTTGAACCCGAGAAGCCGGCGGGATGGGAGGGAGTCCACCCGTGGGTGGAAAAGTGATAACACAGCGGGCCCGAGGCTGTCCTCCTCAGAGAGGCCTGTGGGCCAGACTGGCCGGTGGCTGGCGTTTGGGAACCTGGATTTCGGGAGGGCCCCCCCTCGACTCCTGAACTGATAAGCAGGGCTCACTGCGCCTGGACTGTTTGTACAAACGTGATTTATGCTGACCATCAGCTTTCCTGCGGGGAGTCTGGAAGTTTGGTAGGTACCAGGCAGAGGGTGCCGGTGTGAGCAGCCCCCAGTGAACACCCAGGGTGCTGAGTCTCTAATGGGCTTCCCTGGGAGATGACACAGCTCATTGCTGGGGGAATTCAGTGTGTCCTGTGTGGCCTCCCTGGGAGAAGGCCCTGTGCCTGGCTCCCCTCGGCTTTACCCCCTGTGCCTCTTCCCTTTGTGGATGGTGCTTTGTGTCCTTTGTAATCCATCCCAGCTGGGATTTCCATCACATGCGGAGCCCTGGGAGTCCTCCTAGCAAATCATCAAACTTGGGGGTGGCCTCAGAGACCCTAACATAACCTGCCACCCCCACCCCTGCTTTCTAGAACAGCCTCTCTAGTCTGGGGTCTCCACCCGGGCCACTTCCTTCCCCAGGAAATTTATTTCCTTCCCTCCTTGGCCCGCTCCTCCAGGGCTGTCAGGCCTCTTCTCCGTGGGCAAAACCCCACCCGTTCCCAGCACCCCACAGAACAAAAACATGGACCTGTGAGCACACTCCTTTTCCCACACCCTTCATGCTTTCCGGGCCGGAAGAGTGGCCACCATGAAAGCAGTCCCCACAGGTATTCTGTTCTTGGGGCTAACGCGGCCCAGGCAGCAAACGGGTCCCAAGCTCTTCCTCCCCAAAAGTACCCGAATCAGCAACCAAAAACCGAAAGGCCACTTCCCTTCCCTGCGTGCCTCCAGCTGACCCGAAACAACAGAAGTAGAAGCCAGTTCCTACTGTGGCCACTACAAAACACCTGCTGACATCTGTCTGGTCCCCCAATCTTGGCCACTTGTTCCTCAGCATGGGGGCGGGCAGAGCCGTGCACTCAAATGAAAGTCCCCCATGAGAACAGAGATCATGTCCTTGCCAGATTCCCCAGAAGCAGCAGAGAGAGAGAGAGGCAGTAAAAAAAAACAAAGGAGGGGCGCCTGGGTGGCTCAGTCGGTTGAGTGTTGATTTTGGCTCAGGTCATGATCTCAGGGTTGTGGGATCCCCTGCTCACTGGGCACCCTGCTCAGTGGAGAGTCTGCTGGAGATTCTTTCCCTCTGCCCCTCCCACCCTACTCTCTCTCAGATAAATAAACAAATCTTTAATAAATAAATGAACTAAAAAAGAAGAAGGTGAGGGCGCCTGGGTGGCTCACTTGGTTAAGCGACTGCCTTCGGCTCAGGTCATGATCCCGGAGTCCTGGGATCGAGTCCCGCGTC